TGTATATAAAGGAGTTATTTATTTTATTTATTTTAATCTTAAGAAATAAATATTTTTAAAAACATGAATGTATAAAACACAGAAAAAAGTTTCATACAAGAGTGGAGTGATTTTAAGGAAAATATATTTTAATCATGCTATTTTTTTTTTTATAAAAAGGAGACGCCAAGAAGATATGAAGACTTAAAAACTGTATAATATGAGACAAATCTTACAAAATCGGTTCCCATGAAAAAGTATAATTTTACTTTTATTTCTAAAAGAATAATCCTAATTTGCCAAAGCAAATGAAAATTTATCACTTTTATTTGCTTTGACGAATTAAGATTGTTTTTTGATATTTAAACAATTATATAATTAATATGGAGTAATTATTTATGTTATTTCATATTTTTTTATTTTAAAGATATGTTTTTATTCTTTTAGAAATAACAATAAAATTATATATTCTAATAGAAACAGATCTTACAATTTGTTCTATAATGTGCTATACTAGTTTTTAAATTTAGATTTATTGTAAAATTATAATTTTAAACATTTATTATTATAACAAAATTTACAAGAATTATTAAATAATAAAATTGAGTGTCTCACATAAATAAATTATTACATCTTCCTAATCTGGAGACACAGTAGTGTCAGTTCCACGCTAAGACATGATAGAATAGACATACAGAAGTTTCAGTTAGAAAAAAATTTTATTTTTTTCAATCAAACTTACCAAACCAAGAGGACCGATTTTAGGAGCAAGGGACGAAGTAGCTCCTACTTCACCACCAACGCATCGCAGAAATACTAGTATGAAAAATATAAGCAATTTAGCAATCTTTCTTTTTCCAAGGTTAGTTATAAATTTTTTAGAAATTTACATTTCTACACAAAAAATATAAATAAAATACCTTTCTTGATTTCATTTGGATCAAATTTAGGTGGCATTTTGGTACTTTCTTTTGATGATTATTATAAAAAAACTTAGATAAAATTCGATTACGAGAAAACCACGCTTCTCAACTCCACGTTTTACAACGGAAAGACAAAATACAATAAACGACCAGACTATGAAACAGAAACAATATAGTAAGGCCACCCGCACAAAAATATTCATAAACTCCCAGACATAATAGGGAGTTAAATGGTGAACGTTAGTCACGTTATTTGGTAGAAAGTCAAACTGCGCAAGCGCAGATCTGCTTCCGATACCGTGCTTCCTTTAAAATCAAAGAATCTGATAGACATTAGGTCTGTTTTTTATTACTGCACTTTAAAGCAGTGCATAAGTGAAACAAAAGTATATTTTTTTTACTTTAACTTATTGCACTGTGTATACTAATTCAGAAAGTGCAGCAATAAAAAAGAGATAATCACCTAGTACCTTTATGATTCATGACTCAACGTTCTTTCACCATTTATTTAAGTGCATCCAGATGCGCAATCGCTCCCCAAGTGTTCAGGGAGTTCTTTCATCTGATTGATCTACATTTGAAGATCTAACAGTATTTGCCAATCAAATGAGTTCACTGAACGCTCAGGAAGCAGCCATTGAATTGAGTTAACTAGCCAGCAATGAATTCGGGAAAATCGGTTGCGTTACATTTGAGGTTTATTAAATGGAAATTAGATTGTAATTTACCAACGTAAATGTTATTAAAAATTTTTAATAAACATTGTTTTAAAATATTAATGTCATCATTAAAAGTACATTCTAATATTTATTTCAAATATTGAATATTTACTTTATAATTCATGTTACTTATATTACAGATTTTTAGTATTGGAAGTGACCATCGGAATGCAATCTAAGATATAAAATAAAAAAATATTTTTCGATATTTAAATTTCTATTGTAAAATATTTTTAACCAATGAAAAATAATGCTATCTATTGAATAGTTATTAAAGGATTAAAGTAACGATAAAAATAACGACTGAATTTTACTGTTACTGTAAAATATATAACAACCGTTACCTTTACAAACAAAAAAAAGTAACGGTTGTTATAAAAAAAAACATCGAAAACGGTGTAACAGCGTTACAACGCGTTGTTTTCCAATCTTGATAAAAAAAAAATCATCGGTTTTCTATAGCTAAACTAGTATATACTTTTGAAATAGGCATATGTTTATTATTTGGCAAAAGCGAAAAAGAAAGTTCTAGTGCAGTTTAGTGCATGGATAAAAAAAATCTCAAATGTGTGCAAATCAGTAATTCAATTAGTAAAAGACGATACCCTGACGTTAACATCCTTTTGATTAAGAGAAATGTGGTATAGGATTTTTTACACACAGTTATTTGGTCTACTTATTTAGTTTATTTAATCCACTCTGTCTGCACAAGAGCGTTTTCAATAATTATCAAACGCCCTATATATAACGTGCGTATGATTTATTTTAATTCTATAATCACAGTTGTATTGAAAGCAGAAATTAAATTATAAAGTCCTCATATGTAGGTACATAGTAACAAAAATCTTATTTATCTCGAAATTCTTTAGAAACTCGAGAAGTATTGCTATGTGTTATCGGTTAAATTCAGTGGGAAATTTGATGTATCAATGAGAAGTTCTTCGTTTATGTTCTGCTGTTTTTCTTCCGATTCGTACTCTTCGATGTCTTCACTTAAATCCGTTAAAGTTTGCGGCCCGGTAGATTTGTATTGAAATGCGGAATGTGACAAATCGACTTCAACCGGGAATAATGTTACTGTCGACAATAAATCCCGTGTATTGGCATAATACTTGGCTAGACCTGCTGCAAACTTGTGCAACTGCCATACAACATCCTGAAC